AAATTGTTAATATTAAGATACTTGTCCTTCTCTTTAACACACATATAAAAATCGGAGACACAAGCTCAAGACGCACGAATTTGGGATCGAGAATCGCTATGATTCATGTAAATTTATGTTACACCTTGTTAAGCAAGGATAAGGAAAATTTAAATCCAAACCCTCGGGATTATTGAAAGTTGTGCCGCAGATCCACAACATCATATATAATAAAGTAGAATTCAAATTCAGCAGTTTATTATTAAGCGGATGGGTTAAGTGGACTAGCTGAGATCACCAACTTTTCTCAGAACTAATAAGATTAACTGACAAAAACTGTCAAAAAAACTACAATAAGAAAAATATTAACGAGCGCATTTACATTTTAATAACAATTGCAACAAAAGCATTAATATTAGAAAGATCGCATAGCTACCAAATGCTCTGATGTCCAAAGTCTCTCCTATTCTTTCGATCTAGTGGGGTGTCCGGAGCGGCAATTCGTCGAAGTTCCGGAGTCGTGTCGCCATGCAGTAGACCTGCTACGCTATCAACGGCGTTGTCTGTTACCGTACTGGTACGCTAAAGACTTTGATTATAGAAAGCCAAAGTGGTGCTTTTGAAAAAGGTTATTCAATGGATCTTAACCCACTTCGGTATTTGTCCTTCTACCTCCAAATTTTTCACTTCGTGCTGCACTATGTCCGCTCTTATCGTAACCATTGACTGGTTTTCTGCCTTCAAAAAACTCTGGGAACACCACAAAGTTCGTCGCCTGCCACACTGAGAATTTATAAAATGTAAACATACGATCAACTTAGTGCTCATGGTCCAAACTGACCAGGCTTTGATAGTCCGTAATATTTCGACAAAAATTGTAAAAATGCATCAGACGGTCGATCGATAGCTATTGCGTTGGGTGATGTCGATTCTTGCTAAATGTATGCTAAAAGTTTGCTGATTTTGTCTCTGATAAGCTTGAAGCTTACCCTAAGCATGTACTCAAACAGATAATGTCCATTCCCTCGCCTTTGAACAGAATCATGCACATAGAAGTCCAAAATACACAGTGGCTCCTCCTCAAATTTCCTTTGATCTTCGTCTGTCAAGTAGAGGTGCTTCTTGCCAACTTTGAGAATTCCAATTAGTATGCTGGTTGATCTAAATTTAAAGAAAATAAACTATACAACGCTAAAAGGCTTTTAGCGGCATTAATAGGCTAAAACATCTCAGCAATGCGTGATACATTATCTTTTTCCTAAACAAAAAAACAAAGCACGAACGGTTTGGATTGATGACGCTGCCACATCAAGTACAAAAACTGATCTTCCGGTTGGTTCAAGATCTTTTCATAGGTGGTTAAGGTTCGCTTCAATCCTTGTGCCTAAAATAAAGATCCACTGAATCGCAACTGTTAAATGATCGAAGGAAGACCCATTTGACTGCAATTAATTGGTATTAATTACTTCCTGCATTTCTAGCTTAGAATAGCTCAGCATCCTATAACTCAGATAAAAAGCAAGTTGTGGAAAGTTCTATGAAACTAGTGAAGAGACATATATTCTCTTATCGCATCTGTTTCTCAACAATTTTTTCGTTAACGGCTTTCCATTCCTCGATGATACAAATCGTAGACAGATTCTATCGCCGAAAAAAGTTGGTTTGAAAATGATATCAAGATAAACATCTCGCAGCAAAATCTCGTAAGAGGTGAGGTGAGAGATCGTCTAAAAAAACTATTCCCACTAGTCTCTTTCTCTATCCTCACCTTCATGACAA